AAGTGTTCCGAGTCGCTGCGAAGGACAGGTTTCCCGAGGAATATATGGGCAGAACTAGGTAGTGACAAATGAAAGGACCGTCGTTCTATGATGGAGCCGGCAAGAAGTATAGAATAACGATGGAGGGAGGTGTTCCGACGGTCCAGCGACCCTTTAGAGGAATGGGGCGTTGCAAGAGATGGGGGGTTTCAAAAGTTATTACGGTACCGGTCAGAAAGGCTCTGTAGTCTCATCCTCTGTAGTCTGTACCGAACTGGCGGACGGAATGCTTGGGCAAGACAGAGGGTGACGCTTGCAGACAGACGGTGACGCTTGCAGTGGAACGACGGTGCTCGGAGACGCCTGGGGGGTTGCTCTCTTCAACCACGGAGCGAGATACGATACATTTTGGGATGGGCAAGGAGCGAACAAAATCTTCCACAATGCAGGGATCCCGCACCGGTGGATCACAATGACGTACACAAGTACTAGTACTGAGCGTTTTCGTCCAGCGACCAAGATCCTCGTCCAACCGCTCGAAGCTGTCGGTTCGACGAGCGCGGAACAGACCTCCTCAGGCTCCTCAGGACCTCCTGCTCAAACCCAAGCTCCACGGAGCCGCGAGGACCGACCGTGAAACCACTGGCTAGGAAGATCGATACAAAAAGGTCGGCCGCAGGCCAAAAGTAAGCGACCCTGGCAGGATTCGAACCTGCAACCTCTGGATGTCCACAAGCCGGTCGAAGTCCAACACGCTAACCATTGCGCCACAGGGCCACACGTTTGCGTTCTACGTTTTGAGCTCTCTGTGTTTGAGCATTTGTTCTGTGCGGGAGTGAGGGGTCAGTGAGAACCCGCTTCATGGGGGGACTGCGTCCGCCAAACCCCCTGCCCATTTTATTGCAGCCATAGTAATTGAGATTCGAAGTTAAACTTAGATTGAAACTTCTTTATATGTAGGGAGTTTCCTTTGAATGAGGGGGAACAGCCAAAATGCGAAAGCCATCTTTGGAGGTAACCCGGGAAGCCGCTACATATAATTGGCCATGAGGGCAAACTGGGTTCTGACATGTTCGAGCATCATCAGAAGATCACAGCTGCTCCCTGTGTTGATCGGGAGAATGATCAGTGCCAAGCAGATGGTCCCTCTGCTTCTGAGGGCGCATCCGGTCTATTCGAGTACATCTGAAAGTTCGTAGACGCGATCACCAATCCAACCCCCCCGTCTGTGTTGAGGCGTCGCAGTGCTCGTCGACCGCTTCGGAAGGATGAACAGGTTGGGATCAACGTTCTGGCTCGCCGACAATTGCGCCGACGGCTCAGGTTCGTAGGGGAGGTTCGGAGGGGTTGGATTGGTGATCGCGTCTACGAACTTTTAGATGTACTCGAATAGACTGGAGAGAGGATCCGATGCGCCCTCAGAAGCGGAGGGACCATGTGCTTGGCACTCATAATTCTCCCGATCGACACGGGGAGCAGCTGTGATCTTCTTGAATGATCACGGGTGCGATGTGGACTGGTGAAGGAGGTCGGATTCAGACAATCGACCAGCGGGGCGTCGGTTCGCTTGACCATCCCGGAGTTGCCAGATCTGACCAAGGGAGGCTTGGACGAGATCCTCGAACTTGATGAGATCTACGTCGATCTCAAAGCATCTTTGACGGGGGATTCCTGTCCCGATATCGACCGGACCAAGCGGCTGATGAAAAATCGTCGCCGGCCGGGTCAAGCACTCCCTGACGACTCCTGGATCATTGGAGAAGGGGTTGGATTGCTGTTCGCGTCTACGAACTTTCAGATGTACTCAAATGGACTGGCGAGAGGATCCGATGCGCCATAAGAAGCGGAGGGACCATCTGCTTGGGACTGATCATTCTCCCGATCGACACGGGAGTAGCTGTGATCTTCTCCAATGATCCAGGAGTCATCAGGGAGGCCCACTCCTTCACGCAGGCCAGAAGATCTAGAAAGATCGGACGATGGATCTCGCGCTCCGTGGAGTGCTTGACCTGGCGGCGACGATTTTTCATCAGCCGCTTGGTCCGGTCGATATCGGGACAGGAATCCCCGGTCAAAGATGCTTTGAGATAGACGTAGATCTCATCAAGGATCTCGTCCAAGCCTCCCTTGGTCAGAACTGGCAACTCCGGGATGGTCAAGCGAACCGACGCCAACTGGTCGATTGTGTGAATCCGATCTCCTTCACCAGTCCACATCGCACCCGTATCGTACATTGATAGATCTGATCCCAAGTAATGTTCCGCGGTGACGTGAGATCCGTCGCCGTGGACCAAGAGACGTTGCGTTCGCTGTCTTCCGAAAGTATCCTCAGCTTGGACGGCGAAACCACGTCGAAACCCGTGGTTGTCAATTCGATACTTGGGAAGACCGGCAGCCAGTGCCGCATCTTGTATGACTCGGCCGATCACCGTGGTTTTTGCGGGGACATCAGACACAAACTTGGTTTGATCGTGAGGTTCTACCTGACACAGCACAGGCAGCATGTGGAATCGCTGCTCAATCTTGATCGAGCGAGTGCCGACAAGTTTGCTGATTGCCGTCAGCTCTCTCTCCCGAGGCCCACTCCTTCACGCAGGCCGGAACATCCAGAAATATCTGACGATGGATCACGCTGAGCCCAAGGTTATCCAGCTCCTTGAATCCCTCCCGGGCCGCGGCGAGATCGCGATGGCGCTTGTCCAGCTCTATCTGGGCAATGGTGGGGACGCCTTCTCCGAGACCAAGGGTATTCCGCTGGTCCTCGGTGCGCTGCGCCATCCTCCTCCAAGCATCGGCTGCGGCCTCGGACACCTCCATCCTCCGTCTCATGTTGGCGATCTAAGTCGAGAGAAGTCAAAGTCCATCTGCATCCTTTTGGCAATTCGAGATCCCTGGCTTTAAATGAGCTCTTTCCATCCCCGGCTTCGTACGGGCTGTCGTTCCATCAACTCGTTGTTCGTGCAGACGTCTGTCCGAGGACATCTCTCCAGATGGGAGGGGAAGAGGGAGAGGGCTCTCCGTCGGATTGCTTGTCGTTGGGAGGGGGATAAAATCCTGGCAGCGAGGCCCAATGTTAGAACCCTAGCATGTAGAACCCTACTGAGTTCCACTCTCTTTCTCGGCCACGAGTACCTACGAACAAGAGAATCTCAATCAATCTCCGAACTCATCTCGGAGTCCACCTCGTAACAGATTGAGAGTCTCATGTCTCGACACGAAGCGTGTAAAACGAGAGCCAGCCGTAAGGCCTAAACACAGGCCACTGAGCAACAAAAAAAAACCGCAGCCGCGTCAGAACAAATCAATGACTACAGCCACCACAGACAAACAATGACCAGACTTCTCAATGAGGGGGTGTGTTGAAATACCTTATCCAACCCTGGTTATCAATCCTTTTGTGTGGCTCAATGGTCTATAATCTAACACCCAAGAGGTCTGTCGAAACGAGGGGAGGGGAAAGGGGGCGATCCGACCAAGGCAGCATTGTTCAGGCACGTCGTCTATCGACCAACTGTCCGGCAAGAAGAATCCACCATCAGGTTGACGACGGCGCCAAGGCCAAAGCTGCTGCCGAGCTGGTCGGCAAGGTCACTTCTCAGAGCGATCTCAAGGCTACGGCGATTGGTCGACCTGAACTATCGCCCGCAGCAGCACCGCAGCAAGAATAGTATTGCGAAGGTAGGCTGTCGAATGTTCCTCATCTCCAGCGAGGAGACACTTTCTTCCCTCCCCTCGATCTCTAGGCGACTGTACGTTGGAACATCTCAAGCCCACTCACTCGTTCAACTTCAGTTGTCGTCGTTGAGAGCCTCTAGTTTCGATGCCTGGACGAGGATCCGAACCGTCCCCTGCGAGACCAAAGTCCAACGGCGGCGACGCAAAGGCGGTGGGGGTGGCTGTGCACTTGAGCTCACACGTTGTTTCCTTGCCCTTCCTCCTCGCTGTGAATTCTTTTTGCCCTTCCCCCAACAGCAACAGCCTTGGACGATATACATCCCCCCCGTTAGCGCGCACCGAGGGGACATTCACCATGGGCGAAGGAGGCTTTTCACATCGGTCGGGTCTCAAGCAGCAGAACAAGACATTCAAGTCTAGGCACTCCACAAAGGGTCAGGTCAAGGCAAAGGCAAAGGGTAGGGCGTGTGTTCAACTTGGGGAACCGTCTGTCTCGTCACAGCTTCTTTCCTCCCCCTCTCGCGGCATTTCGTCCTGACCACGAATCCCCATTCGGTTTCGTAGGCAAGGTCGAAGCGGCCTCCTCGGTCAAGAACAAGCATCTGGCGGTCTCCCACAAGGCAGACCGCAAGAACCAGGCAAAGCTCGTCCAGCAACGCAAACGCTCCGATGTCGTGGCTTCCAACCGTCTCTTCTCGGGTGCGTCCGGCGCTCCCAAGATCGTCGCCATCGTCCCCCTGTGTCCCGACGTGGACGCTCGCATCGTCGTGTCCGAGCTTCACTCCTCGGTGGGACAGGAGCTCGCCAACCCGGACGGTCCCACCGTCCTCTACATCGAACGCTTCAAGCAGAAGCTCCAGCTCGTGCCGCTGAGGAGGAATCTGCTCGAGATCCTGGACGGCGTCAAGGTCGCAGATTTCGTCATGTTCGTCGTGTCCGCAGAGGTCGAGGTCGACGCGTTCGGAGACCAGTGCCTGACCACCATCAGGGCCCAGGGCGTCCCCTCCGTGGTCGCTGCCGTACAGGTATACATATATATATATCTATGATCAGGAGGAGCACCTTGTGGGAAAGGAAGGGCTTGGCTTTGGTCATCTTACCTTTTCCTTTCTTTCCAACAGCACCTCGAACGCATCCCCGCTAAGAAACAGCCAGACATCCGAAAGGCTCTCCTCAAGTACATGGAGGAGGACCAATCGTTCCCCGACACCAGGCTCTTTCACACAGCCATGGAATCCGATGCCCTCGCGGCTCTGCGCCACGTGACGCAACAGCGACCCAAGCCCGTCTCCTGGAGAGACCGTCACGCCTACATGCTCGCCGAGAACGTTGCATTCGCTGCGAACGAGGGCGACGAGGTGAGTTTTCGGGCCCCTTTACCCGCTTTTGGTCCGGAAAGGTGCTGAACGTCGTCATCCACATGTGTCAGTCCGTGGGAACCTTGGCCGTGACCGGCTACGTGCGAGGAAACAACCTGTCGGCCAACCGTCTGGTCCACCTGCCCAACTACGGAGACTTCCAGATCAAGGTCGTCATGTCGAGTCCGACACCGGCTCAGCTTGCCGCCGGGATGGAGGTCGACGCCACAGTTTTGGACGTTCCGAACCCCGAGGTGCAGGACACGCTCGTGGCCGAGAACGAGGTCAACCCTATGGAGGGAGAGCAGACGTGGCCTACCGAGGAGGAGTTGCAGGAGGCCGAAGGTGAGGGGTGATCATCAGCAACCTGCCCTAGAGAGATCCTTTAGTGGGACAAGCAGATGCTAAGTCGTCCGCTGTCCAATCAGAACGAGTGCAGCGACTGGGCGACGCCCCGGACGACGCGATGGTGGTGAAGAAGGCAAAGCGGGTTCCCAAGGGGACATCCGCGTACCAAGCCGCGTGGATCGTCGACGAAGAGGACGAAGAAGCCGAAGAGGAGGAAGAGGAGGAAGAGGAGACTGGTATGGATGTCACGATGACGGACGCACCCGGCGCGGTTGTGGATTGGAGCAGCATCGGACTCGGTCACGCACCCAACGGCAACGGTGGCGACGAAGAACACGACGAGGAGGAGGAGGAGTACGAGGACCTCGCAGAGGCCGAAGGCGACGCGGAGAGCGA